ACACACACACACACACACACACACACACACACACACAGAGAGAGAGAGAGAGAGAGAGAGAGAGAGAGAGAGAGAGAGAGAGAGAGCGCCAGTACCCAGAACTAGAACGCTTTGCTATGCCCTTAAAATTTCCCTTGGCGCTTTGTTTTGTTTCTCAGAAAGTGTTGGTCACTAGTTTTATAGCAGTAGAAGACATAAAACTATGGGTTTGTCTTAGGGTAAGATGGTGGTGTGTAGCTCTCCTCCCTGCAGGGCAAACAAGTCTGCTGGCTTTGGCGGCTGTAAGGTGCCCCTGATGGGGACCTCATGCAAGCTCTGAGTGCTGCACTTGACCCCTCCCTCACCTGCTCTTTCGTAACCGACTTGTGTTTGGTTGGGGGTTTGGATTCTGAGTTAGATTTCTATAGTAACAGTGAATCTAGAACATATAGAGAGGCTGACCCTGATTGTAGATGGAAGACAGCTATATGCCCATGTTCCCAGTAGAGCTGACAGCAGAACTGAGGAGACATGGGAAATTCTAAAGGTGTAAAGGGAGTAACAGATGAAGAACAAGGTGACATTAGCTTTGGGCTCTAGTCATGATGGCTTATTATAATTGGCTAGGTGATTTTTCTTGGGGTACAAATCTATTTAGGAAAAACTTCTCAATTGGTACCAAATATCCTCAAACAATGAGAAGAAGAAAATAACAATGGATATTTCTTTTTTTGTTGTTGTTTGTTGTTGTTTTCAAGACAGGGCTTCTCTGTGCCTTTGGAGGCTGTCCTGGAACTACCTCTTATAGACCAGGCTGGTCTCAAACTCACAGAGATCCGCCTGCCTCTGCCTCCCGAGTGCTGGGATTAAAGGCGTGCGCCACCACTGCCCAGGTAACAATGGTTATTTCTTAGTAGTAATTCTTAGAACACATCTGTGGGTCATCTTAGGGCACATGGGACTGGGGCATGCCTGCAGTGTCTGTTAGGCTCACCTGCTAGCTGTGTAGATGCCTTCTCTACAGTCAGCTGTCCATTACCCATGTACTTTAGACAAGCACATAGCTGGCATTTCAAACTCCTCCACCGAAATGTTTCTGTCCTGTGTAACAGCCCTCGTGGCCCAGCATGGGGTTGTGAGCATAAGGCAAAACAGCTGCATCAGTGTCCTGCTGTGAGGCTGGGCAGTCCTGGTGTAGAAGAAGAACCCCTGAGTAGAAAAGGGTCAGAAACAGTGGTTGACCTGTGTTGTGCTCCAAGACACATCACAAGTGAGGACGAAAACACAGGGAAAGTAGAACTCAGACAGGAGCTATTAGTCTACAGCTGGAAGTTAGCAGACTATTGTGTATCACTGGGTAAGACTTTTACGTTGTCCTTATTCTTTAAGGTTGAAGGAGAAGACTTACTCCCTGTGGCCTTTTCTTTTGGATGACAAACAGAAGTACTTAAATCCTCTCTACAGTTCCAAATCTGAGAGCTTGACAGTCTTGGAGCCAAATACGGTTTCTTTCAATTTTAAGTAAGTTAGCACCATTGAAGCATTTATGTGATTTTTCTCAAACAAATTTTGAGAACTTTTAAAATACTATTTATTTTATTTTTATTATTTGCATGAGTGTTTTGCCTGTGTGTGTTTTCCAACTGTGTGTGTGTGTGTGTGTGTGTGTGTGTGTGTGTGTGTGTGTGTGTGTGTGTGTTGCCTATGGAGGCCAGAAAAGGGCATTGGATTCCTGGGAACTGGAGTTATAGATGGTTATGAACCTTCATGTGTGTGCTGGAAACTGAACCCAGGTCCTCTGGAAAAGCAGACAGTACTCTTAACCATTGAGCCATCTCTCCAGCCCCTAAAATTATTATTTTAATGAAACATTTAATGGGGTGCAGCATGATCATTGTATACATGTATATAATAATGACCAAATGAAGATAGCATTCCCACATTTTTACCTTGTTTTCTTGATTTTAATGAACAGTGTATGTTATGAACAGTGTGATATTTGGAATCCATATAGAGTGTGTGCTAATCAGATCAGAGCAGTTGGTGTTTCTGTGTTCTCATTGTTACTGTATGCGAACTCCTTTCAGTTGTTTATAGAGCTTAGAACAGGTCATGTGCGCTGTTCTCAGTCCTCTGTACTGAGCTATCCCGAGCTCACTATTCCATCTAATGGTGTTTGATAAAAACTTCTTTGTCATAAAGGTTTTGGAGAAACATGTATCACCAGTTTGATCGGACACTCCATCCTCGACAGTCTGTATTGAACATAATTATGAATATGAATGAGCAAAACAAGCAGTTAGAGGAAGACATCAAAGACCTAGAGTCTGTAAGTACTGAGTTGTCTAAGAAAACATACTCCTTTAAGTTACTGCATGGAAGTGCCTTCTATTTTGGGTTTCCTCGATGAAGAGAGTCTGTTGGGCATTTTGTTTCCCTTTGTTGAGAATCAACTTCCAGATTGTACTCTCTTTTCTCTTGGCCTGTTTGCTTTTTTTCTTTTTGATTTGTCAGGGTTCCTTATATACTAGGTACTAATTCTCTGCTAGGTGTTACCTGAAAGTTTCTGGCCTGGTAGGTACTGCCACCCTTCCCAGCCCCAAAGAAGCACACGGACACTATATTAGTTATAATAGTGTTGGCCACTGGCTAGGGCTTCTTATTGGCTAGCTCTGTCTTAATTATTAACCCATTTCTATCAATCTGTGTATTGCCATGAAGCTATGGCTTTACCTAATAGTGCCCAGCATGGTGTTACTGCTCTAGCAGCATTGTGACTCTGGCCGGTTCCTGCTTCCCTTTCCCAGAATGCTCCTCATCTCCTAGTTCTGCCTATCTTGCTGTCCTATTGGCCACAGTGTTTCATTCATCAACCAATAAGGAAAACATATGCACAGAAGACGTCCCCATCATCTCTTTTCTGTCTAAATAAAAAGAAAAGTTTTTAACTTTAACATAGTCAAATTGTATATAATAAAACAGTTATTAAGCAAGAACTAATAATTACAATATTTAGTCCATTAACATTTAGCAAGATTTAAAGAAAATATTCTATTATCTATCCTATCTTTGTGAGTCTAAAGTTTTATATGTAACTTATCTTTTATCATAACTAAGGAAAACCATAACCATAACTATCTGTCTTCAACTCCATCAAAGACCACAGAAGAATAGTATAGAGACAGAGACATCTCGCTACCTGGACAGTCATCCATAGTTCTTCTGTAAAGTGGGGCATCCATCTTCAGCCTACAGGCCTACTGTGTCTGGAGAATTCTCAGTGAAGCAGGAAATTTTAAACTGTCCAACTGTATTGGCAGTTTGGCAGTCATTTTTCTCGGTGTCCTGCAGAATGTCCAGCAGACTCTTCCATGAAGCAGGAACCCTACAGGACTGTTTTGTAAGTGCAGCAGTCATTTTCCAGTGGGTCCTACATGTCCAGTTTATACAGCATACAGTCAAACAATCTGGGCAAGAGCAGTTTCTTACCCAAATGGCTAGTTTTGCCATGTCAAAAGCAAACTCCATAATGGGTTTCTTTGATGCCTATCTTCCTCTGAAGTAATTGGTGGTGTTGCCAGGAGCAGTTGTGTCTCACTGCCATGAAAAACCCTAAACCATTTTAAATGTCACATTCTGTAGGTCTTTGAAAGGTTTGAAGAATGCCTATCCAATTGAAGTCTATCTATATATCTAGAAAATCTATTTAATCTAAGTTTTATATATATATATATATATATATATATATATATATATATTCTTGAACTTAATTATACATCACATTTTTAAATGAGCTATATAATCACAATACCTAAACAAGAGGAGAAATATATATTTCACAAAATTGACCTTAAATTTGTATCAATAAATGAAAATCCATTCCAATACAAAGTATTCATTTCTATATCATAATACCCCTTTTTCCTTTAAAAAGAGATTGGTTGTGATCACTAATCATTTATAACCAATACCATTTAAATGAAGACAAACATTTATAAACAGTATTTGGGAATGTGGGCATTGTTCTCTCCAAATTGCTTCCTGCTGTTTGGGGGCACTGAAATTACTGTGGAGATCCTTAGAAAACACAGAAACCTGGCTAAGCCTTTGTTGTAGTAGTGTGCAAAGCTGCATTGTCTCAGCTGTTTTAGTGTTGTATCACCTGGGCCACTGCTTCAGGGGGGTCTTGCTTCATCAAACCACATTAGTCTGAAAGGAATCCACAGCTTTTCATTTTCTGTGAAAAAAAAAAAAAAAGAAACTCTTTTCCCAAGTAACATGTCCTTATACTTAAATTTAGAAGTCAAAGCATTTTCAAAATATATAAGTTGGATTAATCCAGCACCATTTATAATCAAATATCTTTTAGAAGTTGTTGCTCCTTCCTCAGCAATCAAAAAATTCAAAGATAACCCAAAAACATACAGTATTCAGACTCTCTATGTATTTCCATCTTTATGAGGCTTATTTATTTATTATTATAACTCTATTTATTTTATTTTTTTCACTTTGGGGGGCAGGGTTTTTCTGTGTAACTATGGCTGCCCTTGAACTCACTCTGTACACCTGGCTGGCCTTAAAATCACAGAGATCTGCTTGTCTCTGCCTCCTGAGTGCTGGGATTAAAGGCGTGTGCAACCACCTCACAGTTTCTTTCTTTCTTTCTTTCTTTCTTTCTTTCTTTCTTTCTTTCTTTCTTTCTTTCTTCCTCCCTTCCTCCCTCCCTCTCTCTCTCTGTCTCTTTCTCTCTTTCTTTTAACTACTTTGTCCTGTTTCTTTTTCTCTCATAAGCCTACATATATTTTTAAACACATTGTATTTCTTTAGGGTTTTTCCTTTTGAATCTGTCTTTACTGTATATCTTTATCTTTTTCTGGCCAGGAGTCTTTTATCTGCTAAACACCATTGCTAAAATTAAAGCAGATGTTTTAGCTGCTGGCTTCCCAATATGGCGGGCATAAGTTTACCACCAGCACTGGGAGCTGTGCTCACTGCCTTGACTCTTAAATCTTGATGAGTAAAAGCTAAATCTGCTATGCTGCATGCTGATCATTTCTGCTGCCAGTTTCTTGTACATACAATTTTTGTTTGGTAGTGGAGCCTCTTAAAAAAGCCCTGCTGTGTGTCCCATCCCCCTTCCAAACCCCCCACCCCCATTTATGCTGAGTCAGGAAACCTCCCTTAAAGGAGCCTCATGAGTCTCTGCTTGTCTCTAGCAAAACAGAGACCACCCGAGAAAATGCTACCAAGAAGCCGTGCTTGTCTCCATTCTTTTGTTTCTAAAATCCCTTTTTAAGCTTTTGTCAGGTTTACATGGAAATTCATGCCACACATTGCTGGCACCATTTTGTTATGAGCATTCTTTCCCACCAGCCTGGACCCACAACCGCGTCAGCCCCAAATGAACACTCAGAGACGTATATTAATTATGCCTAGTATGGTGTTACTCCTCCAGCAGCATCAAGATTCTGGCTGGCTCCTGCCTCCCTTTCTCAGAATGCTTCTCATCTCCTAGTCCCTCCTGTCTTGCTGCCCTATTGGCCACAGTGTTTTATTCATCAATCAATAAGAGAAACATATGTATAGAAGATATCCCCATCAGCTAGGTTTATTGAAAATAGCTTTGTCTGGCCTATTCTCTTTTCCACCTTACTATTGTTATCTTTATGCTCTGTTATATGTGCACATTAAATATCTCTCTACAATAAGATTTTCCTGTAATCATTTCTCTGTCATCATATATAACCAAAAAGGATGAACAAATATATATGTGTTTTGTATTGTGTGGTGTGTGTGTGTGGGGGGGTGTATGGGGGTATATATATGTATGTATGTATGTATGTATGTATGTATGTATGTATGTGTGTTAGACAGTTGTTTTTGTTCAGGGAGACTGTCCTGTCTGCCTCTGAGGCAGATGGTTTTCATGGTCTCTTAGATGAGAAAATGGTGACTGCTTAAGTAAACTGTAGGGTGCATGTTAGTGTTCAGACGAGGAAAGGCAAGACATAGGCAGCATGAGACAGACAGCTGTCTGGAGACAGTTGATTTGGGAGAGCATGATGCTCTGCCAAAGGGCACTTGAAATCTTAGGTTTAAAAAAAAAGAAAAAATACAAGATTGTGTGACCTTCTAAAGGTCACGTGGTGACCCTTAGTGAGCGACACCCTGTGAGGATCTCGTCATGGTCAGCAGGACCTTCAGCTGAATGAGGTGTGATCATTGTGTTATAGTGACTTCAGGCTGAGCATGTTCTCTACATCCCTTCCTTATAAAATGATTGCTTGTTAAACTCTTAATTAATAGGTGCACGTCTGGCATGTGAAAACCAAGAGATCTTTCCAGTCAAATCTGGTTGACTTGATTGACAAATGTAAAGACTTAATGAAGCATTTTCCTTGATAAATTTTAAGCTATTGGGATTTTTCATTACCGAGTTTATAACTGTGTATCATGTACAAGGGGAACACTTTTTAAAGCAGGTTTTCTTCACTTAGCATAGTTGATCACGTATTATCTATAGTTACTAATGCTTTTTCAATGTTCTGTTTTAGAAAATTACACAATGCAAAAATGGCCTCCTAACGAAGGACTTGCTACATGTTCACCCTGAATCACCTGCCCTCAAAACCTCCTTGTCTCTGAAAGAGCAGAGTCTGCTTCCAGTGAATGACACACTTCGGGCTATAGAGGGCAGCAACCCACCAGATAATCGGTACTGTGACTACCCGGAGGAGTTTTCTAAGTCCGAGCCTACTGTGGTCAGCTTGGAGTATGGTGTGGCAAGAATGACTTGTTAGATTCCTTCAAGTATGTCTCCTGGACTGACTGTAGTGTAAGAAATATGTAGTCGTGAGGATGATCTGTTCATGTGGGCAGGGGGATTTGTTCAGTGACTTTGGGGCTCAACAGCAGGTGAACAGTTGAGAAAAGGATCATAACTGCTCTTGAGAGGAATATGTCAGCTAAGTGCTGTTTGTAGCAAGAGTGATACTCATCTCTGTAGGAAGTGAGTGGTATTGGGTGCACTTACCCAGTACACCAGTGAGGTGACAGTCTGTTGATTCAGATGTTAGTTACAGCCAGGCTCAAATTGCTTTCCTTAAGTATAATTTAACTCGTGAGAAGACAGACCTGGTGATTCGAACCCTTAATGATTGACGTGGCATGTGCTTTTAGGTCTGCAGATGTGTGACTGTTTGTGTATTTTGCCATTTAGTGACGTTTTAACATTGAAGTGCCATGAGAAGTACTTCTGAGATGGCCTTAAAGTAAATTCTCAGTTTATTCTTTAGGTTTTACAGCCAAGGACAAGATGTCTGATTGCTCCTTTATTCAGCCTTATTTCATGAAAAGAACTGCACTCTCATTACTTGAGGGCTGTACGCTGCAGTGCTTCTGCATAGAAAGTTGTAGACTCCAGTAAATCGTAATTGGCCAACCCCAACCATATTCAAAGTTAGCACCTCTGAAGGCTTTGTTCTGGATGTCATTTGTTTCAAGCTGCAGCTGACAGTTCATTATTTACAGCTTAGCAGACTGATTTCTTAGACAAGTATAAGCACATTTGGCATTTACTTTCAGATTACTGCATTCTGTTAACTCATACTTCCTGGTTGGCTTTACTCCTTTGAGAACTGTCCATTTAAAGTGGTGAAGCTCTAAAAAGTTCTGAGTGCTACTACTTATAACTGCCTGATCTAGAACATTTCACTTTAGTGTCCCTGCCTACACACACTGAGAGTGGAGATTTTGCTTGGCTATGTGATTTTTAAAGCAATCATTTTTATGTAGAACATATTTCTTTTCTCTTAAATATAGAAGGGACAGAAAGGGAGCACTGAGGGGAGCCGGTTAATGTCCAACAAAAGCAGCTTGAACTCTGAAAAGAGTTTTGTTTGCCTTGTTACGGTCATTGTTTATTCTGTGCAGTAGGATATCTTTTCAAAAAACATATCTTTTCAAAAAACCACTTTCGATTGACAGTATTACCAGCTGGCTTTTAAACAGATGACATGAGGTACAGTTCAAGGGCACTAAGAAATCTGCATAATTTATCTTATATATCTCCTGATTGCACCTATATCTGTAATACTTCTTATATTAGTCTTGAATATACGTATCTTTTCTTGAAAAAGAAAGAAAGCTTTATTGTATCTGATTTTTGTCTAGTTCTGTTTATTTTTCCAGTTTACTTCCGTAAGACCTTATATAATAAAAACACTGCATTTTAAAAAGTAACAGAAATGTACTATAAAAATATAGTGTATAATTAATGATGTTTAGACATTGGGAAAGGAAACTAATCTCTGTGGCCACAACAGGAAGCTTTTGTGCCTTGGTTCCATCAGGTTGTAGTTTTAGACTCTTCTATGGCAGACTTCTTATAATCATCATTTTGGTTCATTATGCTAATCTTCAACTTCACATGTACATATGTGTTTACATGCTCACACACAGATAACATCCTGGGTAACATAGAGGGCATATGTTGACAAAAGTCTGTGTAAATGTCTTATAAAATTGGAGTTATGTTCATTGTGTTTTGGGATGTATAGCATGTAAATTATTTCATGTATTATTTAAAGGCAATTAAATGTTCATGTTTTACTTTGAATGTTTTTCTTTTGGGAAAAAACAAATGAGGATCTTCGAGGAGAACCTACTACTGTCGCTTTACTAAACTAGCAGAATCCCTAACTGCACGCTAAATACTTAACCTCATACCTACAGATCAGTTTTCCTCTCATCCCTCATTAAAGAAACTTCTCTCTGTAGCAGACAGAGGCCATAACAGAAATCCACAACTGGTCAAAATTCAAAGAACAACTGACCTTGAGGTGCCCAGTACCAATTGACACAGCACAACACAGCCCCAGATGTAAGGCTCAAGGAACATAGCAGAAGTGGGGTGGACAGAAAGAGAGAGTTCTAAGAGCCAGAGGACTGGGAAGTCTGCTTTGAGATTGTGGTACTTGGAAATGACAGAAGCTACACCTATGGTAACATAACAATATGGCTGCCTAAACAAGTCCTGAACAATGACAGAACCAGTTGACATGGCAACATGAATGGGGGAAATCTCACAGGACCCCACCATAGACATAGAACTACTGGAAACTGACGATTGCTGAGAGAGAGAGAATCAGTCTGCCCAAGGGATGAACTCAGGAAATGGTTATCTGATAGCAAGTGGTCAGCCCTGAAATCTTGTACATACAAGCAAGTCTAAACAGAGAAAACAAAAGATAAATGGCATCAAGTTGTGATTTTTTTCCTCACTTAGGCAAAGGGTCTTATACATGACCATATCATAAGTGAAGTTTGTAGCATTTCATTTTCCAAAGGCTGGGGATAAATTCCTCATATGTACAAAAATGCTCCCTGAATAATTAACCTAGGCTAATGGAAGGCTGGTTCAGTAGAGAGTGGTAACAGTTGTTGAAGTCCTTTTGTCAGTGCTGTGTGGTCTGTGCCATTGAGGGCTTGCAGATGGAAGGCTGGATCTGCAAAGTGGATCAAACATTCAAGGTGAACTGACCCAGGCTTGGATGCCAGAGAAGAAATCTTGGGTTAAGAAACAGACATTTTGCTAGCAGTGTTTAGAACCAGTTTTCTGGGTGAGGAACAGTGTTGGGAACTATGAGAAAAAAGATGGCACGATGTCCCTCCTTCCTTCACTCTGTCACTTTTAATCTGATGGGCAAGGATGTGGGACAAGACTCTCTTTTTTATGAAATTTTTTTGCCTTTCAACTTGAGAATTCTGAATTTTTCCAGCTGACAGTTCTGAGTTATCCATGTAACCAACCATTTAGGTATGTTCTGCTGCCTGTGGGCCTCATGACTCCAGGGTAGGTATGGTCTTAGCCCATCACATTTGTAGATGATGGTGTCATAATTCAGGAAAAGGTTAGAACCCCTCCCCAAAGGACTTTTAAGGATATCACTTCCACTTTTATTGGCCAAGTCTTAATTATTGTCTTTACTTTTCCATGTACAAGTCCAAGTGTTAGCACAACTCAGGTATATATGCAACCCTTAAACTTTAGGAAGTTGTCTAGAAGGAAGACAGCCTACAGTCTAGGGTAGTTAAATACTGTACATCGTATACTTGATATCTTAAAACAAGAAACCTGGTGTTCTAATGAACAATATTAGTTCAGCACTTTCTTGGAAAGTGAAATGTCCCCATGCACAGCAACAGTGGTATTCATAGCTGAAAGCAACTTTCAGGAGATAGGTAGACTCTGAAGTCCCCATCTTGATTTCTGATCCCATCCATGGATACATGTTGGGACTCCGGAGAGGTACACATTGAATAGGAATGTATATAAGAATTTAGCAGTGTTAGGGCTGGAAACATGTGTTCAGTTTCCAGCAACATATATTGGGAACTCAAAACAGCTCCAGAGATTCTGACTCGCTCGTCTAGCTTCCCCAGGTACCCACAAAAACATGGCTCTCTCTCTCTCTCTCTCTCTCTCTCTCTCTCTCTCTCTCTCTGTCTCCCTCTCTCTCTCATAAATAGAAGTCTTACAAAAGGACAAAGTTGAAAAATCATCATTATAGCCGGGCGTTGGTGGCGCACGCCTTTAATCCCAGCACAAGGGAAGCAGAGGCAGGCGGATCTCTGTGAGTTCAAGGCCAGCCTGGTCTCCAGAGCCAGTGCCAGGATAGGCTCCAAAGCTACACAGAGAAACCCTGTCTTGAAAAACCAAAAAAAAAACAAAAAACAAAAAATCATCTTTACTAAAACTATTAGTCGTTTTTCCTTGTCACTCTGATAAAATACCCGAAGAAGCAACTTGAGAGGGAAGGACTTGCTTCATAGTTTGAGAGAGTGCAGTGAGTTGGGTTGAGGAAGTCACAGCAGAATTTACACCTTGTATCTGTGGCAGGAATGTGAAGTAGCTAATTTATGAGTGACAGTCAAGAGGCAGACATCCTGAGCTGGCGGGAACAGGGCAGACTGTCCTTTAGCCCTACTCCTGTTGTCCGAGGTCTGCCCACTACACCCTGTATTCATAATGTTCTCAACCACAGAGCAAAGCTGCAAAGAGAGTTGACAGTGCTTTTTTTCCTGAGCTCCTTCAAGAACAAGATACTGATTGGATGCATTTGAGATAGAAGCAAGAAAAGCAGAGTGCATTTGAGGCCAGCCTGAGCTACATAAGACCATGTCTCAGGGGGAAAAAAAGTGGGGGGATGGGTCTAGAATAACATGTTGAACTTGGTTTCCACATTTTTTTTTAGTGTCTTCAATCAGGGCCAGTTTCTGGGGATGTAGTTCAGTGGGAAGAATGCTTTTCTTTTTGTATATCCTACTACAGAGATGCTTGCATAGTCTTGTTCTTGCTGTTCTGCACAATAGTAAAGACATGGAGTTAGCATATCAACAGATCAGAATGAATGGAACTGGAAAATATATTAAGTAAGGTAGTTTGGACTCAGTACAACAACTCCACTTGTTCTCTCTCCTAACTGGAACCTGCTTTTATATGTGCATATTTTCTTCTCTTTAAAAAAGAGATGTGTGTGTGTGTGTGTGTGTGTGTGTGTGTGTGTGTGTGTGTGTGTGTGTGCCTCAGGAAAGTAGAAAGGGGCTGTGAGAAGTGTGTGTGGGGGAGATTAATGTGGGGATGGTGGTAGAATAATGTGAGATGAAAGGGGATTACTGGAGATGGAAAAGCTGGGGTGGGAAGTGGAGGTTAGGTTGAATCAAACTAGTGATGTATGATTCTTGATAAACTAATCAAAATATAAAGTAGGAAACACACAAGAAAAACTGGATATGGTACTGTACCTTTGTCAGTGGATAAAGCTGCTCCCAGAAGCCATAGTTAGTCAATAAAAACACCAGTGCCAAGGGTGGGATGCCTCCCTGGGAGTTGGTCAGAGTGGCTCCCAAGGCACCCAAAACGATACATGTAGTCGGTTGGAAGAACTAGCAGTAAAACCTTGTTGCTGAAGACAACCATATGCCTTGGTTGCAGGACAGGAAAGTCAAGCTGGAACTGGGCTGGAAACCTCTTCCCTGCTGGCTAGCCCCTCTCACTCCCTGCAGTGCTGGCCCAGAGGTTTCAAGTGATTTGACATAGACAAAAGTACCCTTTCGATACCGCTGAGGTCTACATGCTTTGGTGCCTTTTGCCACATAGCAAGTGGGAGCATTGCTGAGCTTTGTGGCCTCTGAAAAAATGGTGCTGAAATCGAGGACTAAAGCTACTGGAGCCAGGACTTTGCCTTCGGTTTCAGTAAGGCATTTGAAGACAGTGATCAGACTTAAATGTTTAGACCCAGGCATGAGCACAGGAAAGTCAATTAATGGGGCCAGGGCTGCCAAAGTGGATCAGTACAGGCTGGGGGAGATGGTTCTGGGTTCAGGTGTGTGGTGTTGGCAACATCCAAGAGGCACTGAGGAGGGGCTATTTTATGGCACTTGGAATATGGAACTGGTATTAGGGGAAGAGACCTCAGTTAGAGAAGGGATCTGGAACCCACCTGTTTGTGGTCAGGAATTAAGCTATGGAAGTGTGTACAATTTTCCAGGACATCTTAGAATAAGATAGGTGATCTGAGTATACGAGTATACATCCCTGATCGGCAGATCAGGAGCTGGGGATGGGGAGAACACTGGAAAATCAGAGAGAAACTCAGCTACACAGAAATTACAAACAATTTCAAATGCCACCTAGTGGTCATTTCATTTCAAGACTAGGATAGTAGTCTCAATCGCATTACTTTGGCAAGATACCTGACAAAAGCAACTTGGGAAGGGAAGGAAGGGAAGAGGAGGGGAGGGAAGGAAAGGGAAGGGGGAAGGAAGGCAAGGAGGGAAGGAAGGAGGGAGGGAGGGGGGAAGGAAAGAAGGAAGGAAGGAACTCACAGAGATCCATCTGCCTCTGCCTCCTGGGTGCTAGGATTAAAGGCTTGCACCACCACCAACTGGTTTATTCTTTTAATTCTTCACTAGCCTGGAATTTTTCACTTCATTAGAACTGCTCTTTTAATACTCTCTTCCCTCCCTCATAGATGCAGGCAAGTACTTAATTCATATATCTTAGTGCCTTATATAATTGGAAATGAATTGGAACTTTACAATGTGAATGTTGACCACAGACACAAGGAGATTGGATAATGGGGATATCCTAACATTGCTACAGGCCCCTGTGCTGGCTGACTTAGGAGCCGGCCCTTAGCAAGCCTGTGCGATCTGCAGCAGCCAGCAGGGCCTCAATCTAGGAGTCAGGCCAAGTGGTGCTTTGCCAAATGAGTCTAAAAATGTGCAGCGTTAATAAATGTTCCATGTCCCTCCTTCCTATGCAGCTGCTAGAGAAGAGGTTTCCTCTTTGCGAAGAGCTTGTGTTTGGCCGTTTTTTCAATTTTTCCCATTGAATGTTTTGACCCAAATTTTTTACTCTGCCATTTTCTCCACTTACCCTTTCCCAGGGCCTCTTGTATCAAAGCCTCTCATTTAGCATTCCAGTTTGAGTTCCTGGGGTTTTGATTGGAGCTAATAAAATTTATAGCAGTTGCCCTTCCAGAACTGTATTTTAATGGGTAAAATATAAAAGGAAAAGATAAAGCTGCTTCCACTGGTGGAACAGGG